TTTTTTTTTTTTTTTTTTTTTTTTTTTTTTTGCGGTACGCGGGCCTCTCACTGTTGTGGCCTCTCCCGTTGTGGAGCACAGGATCCGGACGCGCAGTCTCAGCGGCCATGGCTCACGGGCCCAGCCGCTCCGCGGCACGTGGGATCTTCCCGGACCGGGGCACGAACCCACGTTCCCTGCATCGGCAGGCGGACTCTCAACCACTGCGCCACCAGGGAAGCCCATGGCCTGCATTCTTTTAGTGCCCTGGGGTTCCGGCTGCAGTCAGGGCTGAGAACCCTGTGCGGATCTGCTTCCCCTGCTCACAAGCTGCGTTCTCCAGCCACAGTATTAACCAGAGGGACTGGAGGGCACTTGGTCCACTCTTGCATCCACCTCCCCACAGGCTGAGTCTGGAGGATGGCTTTCTGCTCTCGCCATTTGGGCTGTTGCAGGGTGGGCAGGGGCATGTGTGTCTCTGCTTGGGGCAGAGAGGTTCCTCACTGGCCAGCAGGCCCAGTGTTTCCTTTGTCGGTTGTTGAGACAGCTCAGCCTCTCTCTTCTTAGGACCAGGACTTAGAATGACTTGCCAGGGCAGCTAAGAGAACACAGGGGTTCCTAGGAGTCAGGTCAGATGCAGGGAGTCTGCTGCCATTATGTTCAGTGTGTAGCTGAAAATAGTAACCTCCTGAGTTGTTTCCCAAAGTAATATTTACTGTTCAGAATTTAAAATCTTGCTCTTTGAGTAATTACTTGTACCTGTTAGTGGTATTATCTTATTTAATAGGAGAGAAGTTCATTTCTGGGATACTCTGACCATTGGATGATGAAAGAAACTTTGCCACACCTAAAGGAAATAATCCAGTTTAGTTAAACTATAAATATAAGTAACTGAAAAATGTAGCTGTCTTGATAACATCTTGGTAAATGTTATCAAATGAATTGACCTTTTGGAGGAGTACTGGGTGGGGAGGAGTTCTTTCCTCCAGCTGCATAAACTTGCAGACTAAGCAGACCTGCCGTGAGTTGCTGTCCCTGCGTGGGGTCCTTGCGTGGCCCCGTGCACAGCAGGAGGCCTTCCTGGCCAGAGGCTGGCAGGCAGAGCAGGCGGAGCTTGTTGTGGACAGCCTGCGGTGTCGCTGCGGCTCCGTCTGTGAAGGGTTGGGTGTCCTGTCTCCGAGATGGCATGTGCCGTCCTGCCCTGCAGGAGTGGTGCCACCTCCGCCTGCTCCACGCCCTCTGCCTCTGCCTGATGCCCCGGGCCCGGGCTTTGCACAGCAGGGCACGGGGCTGTGCTGCCGCCCACCTGCTGTCCAGGTAACAAGGAGAACCAGGGACAGTGAAGGCCAGAGAGCTTCCTGACACGGGTCAGGGCTGGGACCAGAAGGCGGGCTCCACTTTTCCCCAAATCTTCTCCTTCGTTGTGTATGTAGCCTGGTGTTTCTCCACCTTTTTTTTTTTTCATTCATTCATTCATTCATTCACTTTTGGCTGCGTTGGGTCTTCGTTGCTGGGCGCGGGCTATTCTCTAGTTGCGGCGAGCGGGGGCTACTCCTTCGTTGTGGTGCGTGGGCTTCTCATTGCGGTGGCTTTGCTTGTCGTGGAGTGCGGGCTCGAGCACACGGGCTTCAGTAGTTGTGGCATGTGGGCTCAGTAGTTGTGGCTTGCAGTTTCTAGAGCGCAGTCTCAGTAGTTGTCACACACAGGCTTAGTTGCTCCGTGGCATGTGGGGTCTTCCCGGACCAGGGCTTGAACCCGTGTCCCCTGCATTGGCAGGCGGATTCTTAACCACTACCCCACCAGGGAAGCCCCTCTCCACCTTTTAAAACTCACCTCTTTTGATAAACTTTAAAATTTTAATTTTTCTCTACTGTCCTTTGAAATTTTGATGTACATTAAATTGTGAATATGAAGACATTAAAGCATGGGTCATTTTTATTCTTCTGAATCCTACAAGTAGTAAATATATTTGGCTATAAAATTTTCAAATACTGGTCATTATTACGGGGAAAAAAAGAAAGTTATTGCACCCTCCCCACCCTGCCCAAGAAAGCCTCCTCTCATTTCTTGAAATCGCTTACGGTTACGAGTTTGCCGTATCCTTCCGGGCCCTGACTGTTTATTTACACATGGACACGTTCACTGTAACCCTAAGACGGGAGGGGGCATGGAACACTCCTTCTGGCTTGTTTTGGACACTTGGTCTAGGTGAGCTTTCCTTACCGTGCAGAGTGGGGATCTGTGGGCAGCAGTCCTTTACTTATTGGGTCTCTATTAGTAGCTGTTTAAGGTGTTGTCAGTATCTTACTGTTAGAAGTGCTGCAGTGAGCGTCCCACCCCACGTCTTTCTCACGTGTAAGTACTTTGTATGACAAATGCCCAGAAGTGGAATTGTAATGTAATGTTAGAATCTGCTTTTTAGAAATGTGCCCCCCCAAATAGATCAAGCTGTATTCTGTTCTTTACTGGGTTTTTTTTTTTAAAGCATTTTATTATTCTTTTTTCAAGATTTGTAGAAGGACTGTATTAAGTCCTGCTGTGTAATTAATTTTATAGGAAACTCTATGATTTGAAGAAATAAAAAATCAGGTTGTGCCTCACATATAGGTACATGATTCCTGATGGCTTGGTTAACAGTTTCTATCCAGCGAGTGAACCACGGGCACAAGACATGAACTTCCATGTTTGCTCAAACTGGGGGTGTTTTTAAATTTCAGTGGTGAGGAGTGGGTTGGTGAAATTTTTGTCTTTTGCCGGAAGTGCTTTCTAGTTGCACTAGTAATACACATTTTATGGAAAAGTTTGAAGCTACAATAAACTTAAATGTCTTTTAAATAAAAATGGAATCATTCCATATGAACTACATGGAAGAAAATAAGATGTTTCTATTTTTGTCCCCTGAGGTCACTCCCAGGACGGAGACCCCCGTCAGCAGTGTCGGTAACAGTTTGGAGAACGCCCTGCACACATCCGCGCATTCCACTGAGGAGTCGCTGCCCAAGAGGCCTGGAGGGAAGCACTCCAGAGGTGAGCGCTTGGTCTGCAGGGTCAGAGGGGAGCAGTGTCGGATGTAGGGGGAGACGTTCGCAGTGGAGTTTGGTTAAATGCTCTCATCTTTGGGGATGCTAGTCTTAGTAAGATGTACTGTTTTTCTAATTTCTGCAAGTTACACACGAGTGGATCTCGGCTGTAAACATCTCACATCTTGATGTTTATTAAGGGGGAAAAAGTGAAAGTTGTTGTGCCTCTCCCCGCCCCACACTGCAGTGGGTCCTGAATTGTAGGGCAGCGCCGTCCTTTAGCGCTCTGTGCAGTAACGGTATGTTCTCTCTGCACTGAGGCAGTCGCCACCAGCCACGCGTGCCTTCCGAGCCTGGAAAACGTGGCTCACGCAAGTAAGGGCCTGAACTTTTAGATTTATTTCATGCAGTTGCACTAGCTCAGCGTGGACAGTGCAGCTCTGGAGACGGCAGGGCACGTCTGGGAGGAGGCCGAGCTCCCTGGTTCTTGAAGGTCTGGCTTTGTTCAGCCACACTAGACAGAGTCGGGCTGGCTGTCCCCCAGCCAGCTGTGCGGGTTTTGGGGGGCTTGCTGGGGAGAGACAGGGCTCTCTGGGCCTCCTGGTTGAGAGCCGGGCGCGGGTGCCTGGAAACGCGCTCCGTGTGTGTGTGTGGGGAAGATCGCGCTCCTAGCAGCCCTGGGAGCGCATGGTCAGCTCACCTCTGGCTCAGCTGGAGGGTCAGTCTCTCTGAAGACACAGCAGGACCTCAGTTTCCGGGTGGGTGGTTGTCGCTCACTCGCTCCGAGGGACCTCTTCCTTGCATGTGTTGCCCAGGGAGGAGTGCCTCCCGATGGGGCGTTGCTTCCTTTGTCCCCAGCCCGTCCCCGCACCTTTGGAGCCTGTGTCCTACACCCTTGCAGTCTTAAGGGGAAGGCCTTTCCTTCACCATTGTGCTTTTTCCTGTAGGCACAATTGTCAAGACCCTCTCGTTCCTGTTTTTTAATATAATTGCCAGTTGAACGGCTGTGTCTGTCACTCTCTTGCCGATGTGCCTGGGTGCGGGAAGGCAGATCTCTGGTAGGACCGTTATTGTCTGCTCTCAGACATCATAATCCTTAGAGAACAGTCGGACCTTGCTAATTATCTGCGGTATTCTCCAGCCAGTGGCCCTGGGGATGATGGTCTCCTCCGCCCAGAAACTGACCAGCAGGTAAACCTGGTTTTGTTGTTCGCACTTTGCCCGGTGCCCTGTCACTGCTCTTCGGAAAGTCTGAAGCCACTCTGAGTGTTATTAAAGTTTTCTTGCTGTATTTTCTGTATCCCACTTCTGTTGTGGGTTGTCTCTGCTTCTTAGAAGTTTTCAGTGACACAGTTTAGCTTGTAAAGAGGTCAGACTTTTGTATTTCTTCAGTACTGAAGCTCGGGACAGCAGTAAGGACAGTCTGAAACCCTGAGTGCTCTTGTCAGGTGGTGTCCAAGCTCGTTACATACATTAACTCATCTGATCTTCCTAAGAACCTGTGGGGCTCAGGTATAAGCTGGTTCGTTCTAAGAACAGTCCCCATTTCACAGACAGGAGAACTGAGTCACAGATAAGCAGCGTTCCTGAGATAAGCTGTGATCCCAACACTTGTGTTAGAAGAGAGTAGAAAAGGAAACTCAAGTACACGTGAAGTGAAAGCATTACCTTTTTCTCTGTACTATTGATTGTGAAGATTCTCAGGGACAGCCTTCCTCGGGAAGCCGCTTGGAGTTTGTGGAAGCCCGCCAGGTGATGCCGCAGTCCCACAGAGCTCGTTTTGTTCAGGGATTAAATAACTGCGCCCAAGGTCACGGAGCTGGAAAGTGTCACGTTTCAGACAGTCTGTCTGACTGCAGAGCCCCTTGGCTTCCCTGGCCCTGCCGAGTGGGTTGTGGGTCTGTCCTCTCTGCCCTGGCCTCCTGTCACCCATCCCCGCCACCGCACAGCTTCGTCCAGCACAGGTGCTGTCATCCCTGGGCCTTGACCGCCGTGTCGCTCTGCCCGCTGGGCCCTTCCCTTTGAGGTCTAGCCCCATAGCACTGCTGTGAACTGTGTCCTTTTTCCATCACTTACGGCTGCTCCTGTGCCTCGTGCGTACTAAGGCTGAATAAAACCTTTGCCTTAATACATAAACAAGTGAATTCCTCAGGCCCCTAGATTCAAGTGCCATATCACTAACCATTCCAATGGAATGTGTGTTCATTTCCTACTTTTGCTACTTTAGAAATACGTTTTATCAGCTCTATGTTTTCTGGATCAGGTACTGCTTTTGTTTCTATATTTCTGGAGAACTAACAAATCAAATTAATGCAAGGTAGCTAGATGATAAAAAAAAAATCAAAGAAAAAATAAGTTACAGAGTTCTTAAATATGACATGACCTAAAAAGATGTAGGAAAGAGGATCAGTTTAATCAGCATAGTAGTGAATGTTTGAATTTTAAGGACAGTTAAAAGAAGCAGTGTTTTTAAAAAATTATTCCCATCAACACAGACAACTAAATGAAAGTGAGAAAGTAACTTGATATTTTAGGAACGCCATCATTCAACTGAGACTTTTAAGAATACAGGTTTTCAAGTTTTAGATGAAAACTAGATTTCATTTATAACGATTGTAAAGCTGGAGGCATCTCAAATATTAGTCTGGTTTAGTGTCTTTAAGTATGAAGACACTGAGTATTGTTGTATAGAACTGGAGAGAGGACGGTGTTGTGCTGGAGCATGACTGTCTCCATCTTTGCCTTTACGCATGAATAATACCCACTTTACTGTGCTTTCTTTTGGCACAGTTTTGGTAATTTTCGGTTTCTTGTTATTGAGTGTACAGAATTAAGCTATTTAATAAAGATACTTTGAAATCAAGTAAAACACATAATTGGCAGAAAACTACCAACCACCCGGTTTTTTCTAGAAGACTTTAGGGAAAATGTTCCAAAAGAGGGCCGCAGTCTTGGGACATATTAAAGCCATCATCTCGAGGTGTCGTGTTCTCTCGGTGTGAGGCGGCCGGCCATCAGCTCCTGTAGATTGTTTGAAGGCCCTTGGTGGCCCTTAGGCTGTGGCAGTTAGGCTGAGCGAAGGTGGCCCTTAGGCTGTGGCGGTTTTAGCAGGAGCTCCCCGGTCTGAGGTCCGGGGAGTGGTTTTCTGGTCCTGGCGGTGTGGAAATCATCTGTGACTCCGCCAGACCCCGCTCAGGCCTTTGGGGATGCTTGCCTGGGCTGTTACTGCGGGGCCTTTTGCAGTCTCTTGTATGCACATCTCCCTCCCTCCCTCCTTTTTCAGTTACGTTAGTGTTCTGGTTTTTAAATTAGGCATTGATCCAATTATAAAAATGGTAGTTCAGTGCAATTACACATCTTAGTGAAGGCGGTGTGCTCTAACTTGTAAGATTTGAGGAGAATTCCTAGTGTACGTCGTGAATAAGAAAAGAAGAAAGGTTTGAACACATGAAATGTTAAAAGCAGACAGCACACCACCTTGCTCTTTGCACCTCTACGTGAGAGCAGGCTGGTGGCCTCGAGTCCCAGGGTCCCAGCCCTGGGTGCCCTGCCCTGAGCCTCTGCACAGTCTGGACCCCAGCGAGGCTCACGTCCTTCCCAGCCCCCTAGCGCTCTTCCCATCGCGCCCGTTTGGGCCCGGGGTCTTTCCAGTTGGTGCTAATCCTGTCTTTGGATGCGTTCTCTCCCTGCAGGTGATGGTTTGGTATCTAGCCCCTCAAGTTGACACAAGTTTGCTGACACTTTTCAGAAAGTACTGGGACTTCGTGTGTGACAGATGACACAGTCTACAGGGCTCCTGAGGGTGGTGGGAGGGAGGGAGGCCGCATTATCTACCGGTAGACTTTAAGTGGGTCGTCAACAAATTTATATGCGTGTAGGTAAACACTCTAAAATTATGAAACCACATTACAGAAATTTGGCAGGGAAACTACCCACATAATTCCACAACCAAACACAATTAACCGTATCATTTTTTTTTTTTTTTTTTCCCAGTACGTGGGCCTCTCACTGTTGTCGCGTCTCCCATTGCGGAGCACAGGCTCCGGATGCGCAGGCCCAGCGGCCATGGCTCACGGGCCCAGCCGCTCCGCGGCATGTGGGATCCTCCCAGACCGGGGCACAAACCTGCGTCCCCTGCATCGGCAGGCGGACTCTCAACCACTGCGCCACCAGGGAAGCCCAGCCCTATCATTTTTGATAATTTATTTTTAGTCAGTCTTTCTTTAACATTTTAAACAACTATAATCATGTTATACATACAGTTTATAATTTTTCAGGTAATATTATAAGCATTTTTCATGTTTTCATTTTTATAAACAGTCTTTAATAGTTCCAAAATCGAGAGTATGCTTACACACCTTTGAAGCCCGCCCAGTTCAGCACCCCCCAGCCGCCCCTTGTGTTAGCCACCGGCGCCACTCTCGTCTGCTACAGAAATCCGTCTGCACGATCTCTCCCACCCCCTTCGCCCCTGCCCCAGCAGGCCGTCCTCCCACCCTCAGAGCCCCGAGTGGCCACACAGTGGGCGCGGCACCAAGAGAAAAGCAGCAGAACTCGTCGGCCGGCCGTGTATCTGGTCCAGAGCCATCCTGGCAGTGCCGGGGCCGCTGCAGCTGCCTGCAGAGGGCCGATGGCGCGGACACAGAACACCGAGTCAGGTGGGCTGGTGATTTTGAAGAGGTCTCACAAACATTTCAGTCCTGTGGTCCAAAATGCCTCTTTTATTTGAAAACAGCTGAGTAACATTCATCTGCTTTTCACATTTTCCTGTCCAGATATGAGTCACTTCCCGCTTTCAGTCCAGTTGGGGTTTTTTTCTTTTTTTTTCATAAATCCTCATACTCAGTCCTGGAACTTTTAGGTACACCTTGGTGTTCTGTGGCCTGGGAAAATGCCGAATAACATTTTTCTGTATTCATTGACTTTGTATATTCTGTTGTTTAAAAAAGTAAAGGATCTGGATTAGGGTGAGGTCATTGTGGGTAAGTTTTTAAAAATAGTGATTGGGAAAACATAAGAGCTGTTTATTTGCTGACAATCTGACTGGGGAAGTCAGACAGGAACAGTGAGTAGTTTCACTGAGTGAGGTCGGGCAGTGCACAGCTGCTAAATGTAGTGTTTTCTTTGTTTTGCCAGAAAGGAAGAAAACATTCTTATTTTTTTCTTTAGAGTAATTTCCTTCCTGTGAGCTATTTTAAGCTTAAAATACTCTAAACCAAATGGGTTCTAGTGTCTCCCAAGATCCATATCAATCCTGATGCAACTTTATAAAATTAGGGAGACTCATGAGGAAAATTCAGGGCGTGAAAGTGCTTTTCCCCAACAGGCCGTAACCTCTGTGAGTGCGAGAACCCATCGACGGTGCTGATCGCTGTGTGCCCAGCCCTTGGAACATGGCCCGGGACACAGCAGGAGCTTTGTAAGACGAGTTGGTGAATGAACAGTTGTTGGTTTAGGGCAGGGATTGGCATCCTTTTTTCTGCAAAGGTCCAGAAAATCAGTATTTCTGGCTCTGGGAAGCATGCGGAGTCTGGCACCGCCGCCGGGCTCTGCCGTCGCAGGGTGGAGAGCACCCATTGACGGTACGTCGGCCCACGGCGTGGCTGTGTGCCCTGGAGCCCGTTTACACAGACAGACAGGCCGAGGGCAGCCTGCAGCCTGCCTGCCCCTCGCTTAGAACAGTGCCGCCCAGTAGAGCTCCCTGGGATGAGCGGGCTTCTGTGTCTGCTGCAGTATGGTAGCTGCTAGCCACGTGTGGAAACGCTTAAAATGGGGTTAGTGCAACCGAGGAGTGAGATTTTTAATTTTACTCAATTGTAATTAGTAACAACTTAAGTGGTCCCGTGTAGTCAGTGGCTGCAGCAGTGGGCAGTGCAGGGTCAGAACCTTCTCCGAAGCCCGGTGCACAGAGCTGCTCGTTGCTCTCTGGGGTGCTCAGACGTGTTAGGGGAGGAGAGAGTTCTGTGGCCGAAGAAATTGAGGAATTGTGGTTTAAAAATGTAGATTTATTTGTTGCAGGACTTCTCAGAGCCTTTAATATGCTAATGTACACGGGCAGCCTACAAAAAGGAGTTTCTCAGATTTTCCCTCCAAACTTTTGAGCACAAAGCTTTCTGGGCGTGGCCCGGAGAAAACTATGGAAGGTATGTCCGACCAGGAGATGGGGCGTCTGCAGAAAGTGTAACTTAATAGCTTTAATAAGTTATGTTGAGTGTGTCATGCTAGACAGGTTTTGAAGCTTTGTGGAAATCCCCATAGTGCACAGCCAGGGCACCTCTGGAAATGTTGGTGAAAAATAGTGCAAGAAGGTGTGTGTGCTGTTCAGAAAGAAAAGCCTCCCTCATTCGCCAGGGTCTTTGCGTAAGAGCTGACCGCCTGTGTGCCTGCCCAAGGCTCATAAGCTTGAGGAATCAGTTGACTCGGTACTTGAGAAACTTTAGTATTTGAATCAGAAATAGGACATACGTACCTTAATGTGGTTTGGGAGTTTGGAAACTACATCATGTTTGCTAAGTGCTGTTTTATTTTCAACAAATATTTGTGCTCAAGTATTTGCATCTTAAAGCTTAAGGGCTTAGAAGCTTAATTGTATCGTTTTCTTTTTTGAGGAGAAAAAAAAAATGCACCCTTGCGTGTGAAAAGGGAGGTGTGCAGAGGTGATGGCTTTGGAACTCTAACGGTGACGACCTTTTCTCATCCCCGTCCACCTGTGCAACTGCGGCCTCTGCCCGTCCTTGCTCTGTTTTGCAGAGGCAGTGCTGGGGGCCTGCAGGGTCTCCTCTGCAGCTGCTCTCCTCACACCTCCAGCCTGGCTTTGTCCGAGGAGGAGGAGGTGAGGAGATGCCAGTGAGAGGTTCTGGGCAGCTGTGTCTCTAAATAGTCACAGTGGAAAACGTTGAGCATTCGTTTTTCAGAAATGAGAACAGATCATAACTACTCTTCAGTTACAATTACGGTCTGTGCCCTTGTGCATTTTCAAGCACCGATCTCTTTCTGTTCTATGATTTGTTTTTATTTTTCGCCTGTTTTTCCTGTGTCACTTTCAACTTCGCCCTCGATTCCCGCGCGAGCAGCCTCCTCGTTCCTGGCAAGCTCACCCCCCCACAGAGGAGACGGGGCTGGGTGTTGGGAGCCGTACTGTGAAAAGTTGCTAATGTATCGATGCAAACTAATCATATGTATTTCAAGCTCTTACTTCATTTTTATAATTTTGTTTGTTGTTGTTTTGTTTTGTTTTGTTTACCTCTACAGTGAGTGTTGAAAAGATAGACCTGAAGGGATTATCACACAAAAAAAATGAAAGAAATGTTGAATGTTCCTTTGAGGTAAGATGCTAAGTTTTTTTTTCCTTTTCTCCTCTAAGGGATAGGAAGGAAACATTTACCCTGAAGTGGTACTTTTATGTCTCTAAATAAAAGACGAGTCTTTTGCAAAGCACTGTGCCACGGCTGCGGGAGACAGAAGTGGGGACTGGGCCCTGTGGGTGGACCGTCTCCACGGTGGACTTGTTGGGCCTGGGGGGGCTGCTCCCCCTGGACCTCAGCAGGCTCCACGAGGAGGAGGGGCTGGGCTCGGCCACAGCCTGGAGTGCGCAGTCCTGTTGTGTCCCTGTTCGCCGTGTGACCGAGGACAGTGCTGGACTTCTCTGTGCCCCAGCACCTCCATTCAGTCAAACAGGATGGAGTTTGGGGGAGAATTAAATGAGACAGTTCATTCAAAGCATTCAGTACAGGGTCTGGATATAGTAAGTGGCTGCAAAGATGAGCTGTTGTTCTTCTGTACCTCCTGGATGACAGAAACTCCTTGGTGTGTGTGGGGAACATTCTCTAGACTGACATGCTCAGCTGCTGGTGGCTGGTCACCAGAGTTGGCTAAAGTAGAGAATTGTGAAAATTGAGGCATACTGTTTATTAGAATCACAGATCTACGATAACAGTGGCTTAAACAACATCGGAGTGTACAAGGAGTCGGCCCTGGGGCTGGAATGGCATCTGTGCTCCATAAAATACGTAGGGAGCCAGGTTCCCTCCAGTTGACTGCTTTGACATCTCTAGGAGGTGGCCCTTAGCCTCATGGTCCAAGATGGCAGCCAGGACTCCAGCCCTCACGTTTTCATTCCAGGCAACAGGACATGGGATGAAGAGGAGAGTGAAAGGTTACTTTTACCTCTTTTTCATGGAGCATTCTTCAAAACAGCCACTAGAGGGACTTCCCTGGCAGTCCAGTGGTTAGGGCTCCTCGCTTCCACTGCCAGGAGCGCGGGTTCGATCCCTGGTCGGGGAACTAGGTTCCCAAATGCCGCGAGGTGTGGCAAAAAAAAGCCACTAGACACTTCCACTTATGTCTTACTGGCCAGACTGAGTTTCCTGGTCCCGCTTAGCTGCGTGTGCGTGGCTGGCTGTGTCACCGGGGTTCTGTTGCTACCCCATTGTTGTGCGAGGTTCTCCTTTGACCACATGCATCGTAGGAAACTGATTGATAAGGAAAATCTGCTTCCAGCTTTACTGGGGAGTGTTCTCAGGCATAGCAACTTCTGGTTAGTATCTAGTACTTATACTGTGCAGCCTACTAACCTTTCAAAGAGTGTAGCTACATCAAAATACTTCAAGTACTTTTAATACCACAAGGATAAAACCCTCATTTGATTTGGGAAGTCCTGCATTGTGCAAATCACTTGTTACTCCATAGATGTATGGGAAAGGCTTCCCTTCGGTTTTGGAGGTTGCCAGAGCTTGCGACCAGCAGCCAAGTGTCAGCAACCAGAGAACCTCAGGACCCCAGCATCTTCAAGGCCTGCTGGGGTTGGGGAGCCCAGCGAGTCCCTGAAACGCTGGGTGTGTTGGCTCCTCTCCTCTGCAGTCAGCCTCTGGCTGGCGGATATCGCCTGAGGGGCTGGTGGCGGGCGTGGTCCCCGTGCACAAGGCCTGCATGTGTGGGAACTGCTGAGCGTCAGGCCCCTCAGATCCCACTCACAGCCCTTCCGATCCCACTCACAGCCCATCTGATCAAACTGGGCTTGGACTCGGCCCCAGTCCGCAGCCTCTCTGCAAAGAAATGAGCTTTGACAGCGTAGACACTTGGCCTCTCGTGGCCTTTCCCCAGAGGAGGGCCTTGTGATCAGGGTGGGGAGGTGGCAGGCTGGCAGGATAGGGCGCCGTGAATCTTCTGAAAGCAGAGCAGACAGCTGGGTTAAAGTTCAGTTGAAGACGCTTCTAACCCCAAATGGTTAAGCTGAATGAAGTGTTTTGGTACTTAAAGAAAAAGGTTTGGTTATGGGGAAAAGCTTGCTTTTCCTGATGCGATAACTGATAAAAGGATTCTTGTGTTTAGGAAAGTGATAATCCTTCACTAGCCAGCAGTCCAACTCATTTTCTTTTGGGATACTAACTTGATATGCCCTAAGGGATTTACTGCCCACACTACATTTGTTGATGGTAATTTGAGGCACAAAGGAAAGACACAAGGAAGATTAAAAAAAAACACAACTATCTTCTTATTTATAAAGCACACTGTTCATTTGCGCAGCTTGAACTGTGTGCTTGTTCTCTGCAGGTGAGTTGCACTCTCCTACTCGTAAATAAGTGGCTGCTTGTAGGATACGAATGTGTGATATGCATGTGCTTAGGTTTGGGACCCCTGTCACACTCGATCGAAAAGTGAAGCGCCTTGTAGTTACATAGCTTCGGGCATTTAACCACGGTCTCTCTAGCTCGCTGTGGTCAGGAAGGACTACAGTTCTGTAAGAGGGAGAACCTGTGGACAGTGGGAGAACGTCACTCCATGTACCTTTAAACTTATAAACTTTCTGTCATCTTACATGACCGCCCGGCAAAAGTAAGTCCCAGTAGCATTTTTCTGTTTTAGAAATCAACAAGACGAGGGGCTTCCCTGGTGGCGCAGTGGTTGAGAATCCGCCTGCTAATGCAGGGGACGCAGGTTCGAGCCCTGGTCTGGGAAGATCCCACATTGCCGCGGAGCAACTGGGCCTGTGAGCCACAACTACTGAGCCTTCACGTCTGGAGCCTGTGCTCCGCAACAAGAGAGGCCGCGACAGTGAGAGGCCCGCACACCGCGATGAAGAGTGGTCCCCGCTCGCCGCAACTAGAGAAAGCCCTCGCACAGAAGCGAAGACCCAGCACAGGCAAAAATAAATAAATAAATTTAAGAGGAAAAAAAAAAAAAAGAAATCAACAAGACGATTCTAAAATTTATATGGAGGGAATTCCCTGGTGGTCCAGTGGTTAGGACTCCGCACTTTCACTGCCCTGGGCGCAGGTTCAGTCCCTGGTCAGGGAGTTAAGATTCCTCAAGCCTCACAGCGCAGCCTGAGTAAATAAATAAATAGTAAATAAAATAAAATAAAGTTTATATGGAGAACATTATAGAGCAGTCCAAACAGTTCTGAAACGAACAAAACACTGGAAGACTCACAGTACCTGATTTCGGCACCTGTGTTAAAGGTGCTGCTGAGAGGGAGGAGACGACGTGCCCCGGGGCAGTGGGGCCCGAGCTACACTCACATGTAAAGCGCTCAGTTGGTGGTTTTGAAGACTTCAGGAGAATATCCTTGATGGCATTTTTAAAGATCAGACGGTTTTAAAATTTTCTAATTGACTTTCTTCTTTACGCCTCTGATGAGATTTCACATAACATAAAATTCATCCATTTTAAACTGTTCAGTGGCTTTTTTTATTTATTCAGAATTTTGTAACCATCACCACGATTTAATTTTAATATTTCCATCATCCCAGGAAGAAGCCCCATATACCCATTAGCAGTCCTTCCCCACTTCTCCCCAAGTCCCTGGCAAATACTAACCTACTTTCTGCCTCAGTGGACTTGCCTATGCTGAATATTTCACATGAATGGAATCATACAATATGTGATCTTTCGTGATTGGTTTCTTTCATGCAAATAATGTTTTCAAGGCTTCTCTATGTTGTATCATGTATTAGTGCTTCCCTTTTTATTGGCTGAGTGATATTCCACCGTGTGGATGGACCACATTTAGTTCATCCACTCAGCAGTTGATTGATGCACTTCTGGGTTGTTTCCACTTTTTGCCTCTTATGATTAATGCTGCTATGAACATTTATGTACACGTTTTTGTGTGGACAAATGCTTCCATTCCTCTTGGATACACACCTAGGACTGGAATTACTGGGCCGTGTGGCTTGCAGATATTTTCTTCCATTGGGTGGGAATTTTCTTCATTTTCTTGATGCTGTCCTTTGACACACAAAAGTTTTTAATTTTGATAAAGTCCAGTTTACCTACTTCTTTCATTCCTTGTGCTCTTGGTATTATATTTAAGAAATCGTTGCCTAAGCCAAGGTCGCAAAGGTTCACTCCTGTGTTTTCTGAGAATTTTATTGTTTTTGCTTTTACCTTTAGGTCTTTGATTCATTTTAAATTAATTTTTTGTGTATGGTGTGAGGTAGGGTTCGAATGCGTCCTTTTGCATGTGGACGTCCTGTTGTCCAGCGCCATTTGTTTGTTTGTTTATTTTACAATTTTTTTAACATCTTTATTGGATAGCACCATTTGTTGAAAAGACCATTCTTTCCCCCACTGAAGGGTCTTCACACCATTGTTGAGAACCCGTTGAGCGAAATTGTGAGGGGTTGTTTCTGGACTCTCAGTTCCGTTCATCTCTCTTGTTGTTAGGACAGCACTGCTCTGTCTTGAGTACTGTGGCTTTGATGCTGAAATTGCGAAGTGTGAGTCCTCTTAGGTTTGGTCTTCTTTTTCAGGATTGTCTTGGCTGTTCTGGGGATGCTGCATTTCCATGTGAATTTTAGGAGCAGCTTGTCAGTTTTGGTGCCAGCACTGGCAGCAACTCAGGCTCCCGCCGCCCGCGGCTACTTGCAGGTGACCCTGGGGTCGGCTCGGGGCCTGGCGGTGGCGTCTGCTCTATCCCGCGGGCCAGGCCTTGTCTGCTTCAGGCTAAGGGCCCTGGACGCCACACCACCCTGGTCAACTGATTATTGACAAAGGTATAAAGGCAGTTCAGTGAAGAAAAGACGGTCTTTTCAGCAAATGGTTCAGGAGCAGATAACCATATGCGAAAAAAAGGAACCTTCATCAAACCTCACCCTTTATATAGAAATTAACTCAAAACTGATCACAGACCTAAATGTACAACCTAAAACCATAAAACTTCTAGAAGAAAGCATAGGAGAAAAGTCTGTGACTTAAACAGGCAAAGATTTCTTAGGTAGGATACCAAAAACATGAGCCATAAAAGACAAAAATGAATTAAACTTCATCAGAGTTTAAAACTTGCTCTTTGACAGGCACTGTGGAGAAAATTAAGCCAAGCCAC